AGTAGCTGCTTTGGGCGTGATGCAAGGAGTGCTGGCGAGTCCTTGTGCGCCTCCTGCAACCACCACAGTGGCGGCTCCGAGCGTGGTGAAGAGAGTGCATGGACGGGTGCGGGGATAAGTGGGAGGAGGAGTAGGACGGAGGTGACAAGCTGGAGTGGGGAGGTTGGCGTGTGGGGCAGGATCAAGGGCACCGCTTTAAGGTCTGGTAACCTGGACCTCGCTATAAGCAGACTCAGAGAATTCGCTTTTGCGCACGGGTACTGCAATGAGGGAGTGCAGGAGGGGGATGGGGCTTATATGGGAGCATCGCGTGCCGGCTCTGGTGTGGCAGCGAACATGAACAACAGTAGGAACAAGAGCAGTGGTTTGAACCTGAGCAGCAGCGGGAAAAAGAGCAGCGGTGGTGGTAGAAGGAAGGAGGGGTTGCAGCAGCGAGAGCGGGCACTTGATGGGGGAGGGTCTGTGGAATCCCTCGACTCGCTAGGCTCTCCTTCAGTGCGGGTAGCAGACTGTGCAACCCTGCATGGGCTGTCAGTTACAGCGCTGAAGCAGGACGGGAAGGATGGGCCGTATGGGCTCAAGGGAGTGAGAGGAATGGGTGAGGAGGAGGGTGGCAGAGATAGCAGTGGAGGCAGAGCGATGCGACGGGGTAAGCAGGTGAAGGGGCGAGAGGAGGAGGAAGTGCGGCGTGTGCTGTCTTTTACTGAGGGCACTGTTCAAGAGAAGAGGGTATGTTGCACTGCCTCTCATTGTTGCAACGCAGCCGCCGCTGCTGCTGCTGAAGGCCCCCCTCCCACACGTCACCCCTGCTCCTCCATCTCCTCCTCTGGCCAACTCACCACTGCCACGTCATCATCCCTGTCATTCCGCCAGCTCAGCATCACACCGCTCTCACTCTCCTCACCAGCTAGCTCCGTCCCCACGGGCTCTCACAACCTCGTACACACCACCCACCTCACCTACCCCGACTATTTTGACTGCCCCGAGAATCTTGACGGTTCCTTCTACCCTGACGGCCCTGACTGCCCTGACTATTTCGACTACCCAGACCCCCCTCTCTCTGTGCGTTCCACTCACTCGCTTCCTTCCACTCACTCTGTAACCGCTGCTGCCGGCTTCTCTCGCACCAAGACTATCAGGGCTGCAGGCCTTCCTCCTGTAGAGTTAAGCTGGTCAGCTCTGCAGCGCACGGACGGTGTAGCAGCACTAGTTGCAGCAACTAGAAGTGGCCCTTCGTTCTGAGACCTTACAGTGGATTCGGAGGCATCTCATTAGTTGGAGTTTTGAGACGTCTTAGAACTAGTTGCACCAACTACGGTAGTAGCAGCCCCCTATATTTCGAGACCTTACGGTGGATTCGGAGGCGTCTCTTTTGTTGGATCACCCATAAAGAAGGAATTTCGGAGCTCAAGGGTCATAGTGTATTATACATGCTATTGTAGTATGAAACTAACGGCAAGAGTTGGCTAGTTCGTTACTTGGCATCTGAGTCCCTTGAAGGGTATGCTAATAACGAATTTCCTCTAAGCTCCACCTTCCAATGTAGCCTGGACAGAAATTCGTAGATTACTGGAAGGATCTGAACCACTCCCGGCTCGACCTACCATTTCACTCAACTTCACTACAGTCACATCACCTCATGCAGCGTCCCTCACTGAGCGCCCTCCACCTCTTCACCCTCTTCATTACAATCCCCGTGTTTTCCGTCAGTGTTGGTACCGGCGCCGCTTCTGCCACCGACAATTCTGACGGCCAACTAGACGGCTGCACGTGCTACCATGTGCGAAACGACTTTTGCTGTCAGGCCGGCCAGGTCCTCTGCTCCTGCCGGTCCGTCTGTTTCAACGGCGACGCATTCACGGGTGTCAGCTATGCACCCTGCCGGCAGCCACCGGACGGCTCAGATTCTCCCTTCCCTGACCAGACGACCCAAGCCGTCGATCCACTCATTCCTATAGGCTGCATGGACGGACGCGGTAGATCGTACAAAGCAGCGCTGCGGCTTATAACGAAGGATAACATGCAACTGCGCACCGAGCGGGGGAGAACCAGGCGGAGGAAGCGGAGGAGGGGAAGGGGGAAGGGGAAGGGTGACGACGAACAGGAAGACGACACGTGGCAGGAGGGAACTTCAGCGTTTTTGTTCTTAGACGACTCGGAGGGAAACATCGCGCATTTCGTGCGGAAAGCACATAATCTCCTGCTGCTTCTTTATCACTCTTCTTCTTCCTCGTCCTCCTCGTCCTCCTCTACCACTTCCTCCCCATCTCTCAACCGCTCCCCTCTGCCTCTCCCAGCCCAAAGATTAGTTCTGATTAGATCTGCCGCGTTCAAACGGGTGGCAGGGGCGTATGGAGAACATGGGCTGCATGCGCGGCTGTTGGATGGCATTGTTCGTCTGCTAGTGGATTCAGGGAGCGTCAGTAGTGCTGGGAACAGTGGGGTTTTGGCAAAAGGGAGAATGGACGGTGGGATGAAGCCAGCGGATTTTCTCGATGCGAGATCAACGGTGGCGATGGGAGGAGCGGTGAAGTTTGAAGGGTCTCTTGGAAATGCCACAAGGAATCGTCCAGTTTGCTTCGCCAATGCACTGTTCAGTGGCAATCTCAAGGTGCACTATTCACCGTCAATCCCAAGGTGCACTGTTCACCGTCAATCCCAAGGTGCACTGTTCACCGTCAATCCCAAGGTGCACTGTCTTCTGCAATTCCTCTATGTCAACACACAGTTGCAATCTCAGTTGGAATTCTTGGGAAGCAAGAACGAGTTTGGAGCCACTTGAAGCATCCCGTAGCAACTGCTTGCATGACCTGTGGGGAAATGCAACAATCACAAGCTTCACTGCTGTTTCCTCTCTTGCTCCTTTCTCCCAACCAGCGCTCACATACAGCACTCTCCTTCCTCCATCCCTCCCCTTCCCACTCGGTGACATTTGAGTCGACTCAAACGTCACCACTCTCCTTCCTCCGTCCCTCCCTTTCCCACCCCCGTAACACTCTCCCGCCCCCTTGTCTCTCGGCCAGGCATCAGCTTATCCAGGCACTCTCCCCCTGCTGCCCGCCCGCCTGCACTCCCACCTGCGCCACACCCTGTCACCACCTAACCACCTCACCCCAACCCTCAATTTCACCCCCACCACCAATCCCTCTTCGACCTCCTCCACCTCCCCCTCCACCTCTCTCCCGCGTCTACTCTACATTCGTCGCACCGTCGGCACCAACAACAGCGCCAGCAGCCACGCCGCCCGGAGAGCGTTCGACCAATCAAGCGAGGCGGCCTTCCAGTCCCTTCTCGCCTCGCTGCCAGGTGTCGCCGTGCAAGTGGCGGACTTTGCCAGGCTGTCATTCGCGGAGCAGTTTTCTCTAGTACAGGGGGCGGACATCATTGTAGGGTTACACGGCGCTGGTCTCACTCTAGCTTCGGCTTTCAATCACGCACCCTCCACTGCCACCGCCGCCGCCGCCGCTGCCGCAATTGCAACTGCGGCCCAAAGTGACCCCTCTCCCCTGCGCCCCACGATACCAGTCGTCGTGGAAATCCAGCCGTACAAGGTACAGCACATCATATTCGAGGGCATGGCCACGTCAGCAGGCGCACTCTACCTGCTGCACCAGTGCCACCGCGGCCCTACCGACCAACCAGGCGACGCCACGTTTGCACACGTCAGCCGGGAGGCCTGCCGGCGGCGGCTCGAGTGCCGGGACCACTTTGTGCAGTCGCGATTCGTGGAGCTGACTCAGCGCGACGTGGCATCGCTTCGGCGGTTGTTGGAAATGGCTCGGGATTTCGTTACCGAGGGTCTGAGAGCAGCTGAAGCAGTTGAGGGGCTGAGAGCAGCAGATGCTGTTGCAGGAGGGAATGCAGGCACGGGGAAAGGAGTCAATGGTAAAGCCGTTGGCAATGAGAGAAGGGCTCTGCACTCGATGAAAGCTCTCCACGCCCCTGCAGATACAGCAAGCGCCGAGGATTCTCCCAGACGAGGTGAGAGCAAGGCACGGTCATGGGGCCTCTGGGGTTTCCTGATGGGTGGAGACCGGGGAGAGGGGACAGCAGCACAGGGCACACAGCAGGGGGCAGAGCAGGCCGCAGGTGCAGGTGAAGGGGTAATGGCAGATGCAGTGGGTGACAGTGAGAGGCGTGCGCAACAAGTAGGTGGGAAAACAGCAGGGCACACGGCAGATGCGCTGTGGGCTGGCATTCGGCACGGCATGCAGGCAGGCGGGGAGGGAGGAGGAAGGGAGAGTGGAGGAAATGAGGGAGGTAGAAGGGAGGGAGGGGTAGCACAAGTACCAGTAGCAGCACAAGAAGCGGCGCTGCTTGTGCAATCAGCACAAACACCAGTGGCAGCAGCACAAACACCAGTGGCAGCAGCACAAACAGCACGAGCAGCAGAAGCAGCGCAGGCAGCACAAGGAGCACAGGTGGCATGGGTGAGGGGGTGGATGGAGAGGCAGTGTGGCGAGTGGATGAGTGAGACAGACAACAACTGCCGTGTGGAGGCCGTACGATCACCCCATGTGCGCTCGGGGGAGAGGTGTGTTCTTGCTGCTGACGACTGCTGACCACTGCTGCTGGCTGGTGGAGATAGCTGGCTGCTGCTGCTGATGGTATGTGCTCGTATCATGGCAAGAGCTTCATCATTGAATCATTCCACAATACATAGCGGTTTTAAATGCATCGGCCCTTGCCAGCAAAACTCTCGTGTAGACAATGATGTATCAATGACATGCAAATTGCACTGCATAAAGCTTCCATGTATGCAAAGCTTTCATACCAGTATAAAATCTATAGAGCATAAAACTTTGACCAACATTCCTTGAGCAAAATAGCTTCTCTTTGTGGTACTAGGTAGTACCACCAAGGCACAGACAGCAACAGCAACAGAAGAAAAGCAAATGCATGCCGAGTTACAAAGAGGGAAAGAGCTAGAGGATCGATAGCCACAGCTGCCACAGGCCGATTGCATCCCATAATCCCCGTCCTCTCCCACCTCTCTCTCTCTACCGCCGGTCGGTCTTCCCAATGCCTCTCTTCCCCGCGAACAGATGCTTGGGGCGAACGTTCACAATCGTGCGGTCCGCCTCGCCCTTCCTGCTCTGCACGTTGCGCTTCTTCGCGTGCTTCCGCGCCAGCTGAATCGCCCCCACCTTCTGCTCCGTGTCTCTGAACCCCTCCCCAGGCACCGCCTCCGCAGCCAGCGCCGACGCCGTCCCGCCTATCCTCCCCAGCGACTGGGACCGCGATCGCGACATGTGCCGGATTCTCTTCCTCAGCCTCTCCTCATTCCCTTCATCCAACTCCATCCCCTCCTCCCCTTCCTCCCTCCCTTCCCTCCCCTCCCGCTTCCCTTCCCGGCCCCGCGATGCCCCCCGTCTCCCCCTCCCCTCCTCCCCATCCACCTCCATCCCATCTCGCGCCATTGACCTGCTCCTCTTCCTCCCCTTGGCCACCGTGCCACCACCACTAACGTCCCCGCCCTCCCCGGTCTTGCCGGCCTTGATGCGAGCGAGGGCAGCGGAGGGGTCGAGGCCGATGGAGGAGAGCTCCTGCCGCATGCGCTCCGCTGTGAACTGCCGCCCCGTGTCCGCGTGGCGCGGCAGGATTGGCCGGCTGTCGGTGACGCTGCGCTGGCGATGGCGGTGAGTGATAAGGCGCTTCTTCTTCAGCCTGGTGTTGGGAATAATGGGGGAGGGTATTGGGTTGGGAGAGTAGAGCATTGATGAGGAGGCATCGGCAGAGTTAAGCAAGGGTGCACATTCCTAGGGGTGGTTTTTTCGGGTGTATTGGTTTGGTACACCCTCTAGGGTGCTATGAATGGTTGGCGAAGAGTCCAGCCATACGAAACACTAGAGCCAGGGTTGGAGAATGTGCTGGCGAACACAATCGAATTCGTCGGCGAATTGGATTGGGGGGACGGACAGCGGAAGGGGAGGCAAGTGATAAACCATTGAGACAACCCCCCCCAAAGTGCACCCTTGCTTTAATGGTTGCTCCCATCAACGCACCAACGCATAGTGTCCACACACCCACACAGCCATACCCCACCATCAAACTACCCCAGAGAGTTTCACGAACCAAGGCCCCGGCCACCACCAGCCTATAACCTCCAACCCCCAGCCGCCGCCTGCCCCCAGCCCCCAGCCCCCCGCCCCCCGACCCCAACCCCAAGCCTACCTGATAGCCGCCAATGCCTCGGCCTCTTCTGGCGCCAGATCCTCCTCTTCATCGTCCATAGCTTCGCCCCACTCGCCCTCGCCGACCCCCTCCGCCTGCTGCTCCATCTCCCACTCCTCGCGCTCCAGCTCCTCCAGCCGCGCCAGGATATCCGCATCCACGAAATCAGCGATGTTCTTCCCGTCCATGATCTCCGGCACCACGTCGTGCCGCCACGTGTCGTCGCCCAGCAGGTACGGCCGCGTGTGGTCCGCCACGTAGGCGCCCGCGCCGCCCATCTCCTCTTGATAATCCTTCTCCAGCTTGCGGCCTTCGGACGGCTTGATGCCCTTGGCCTGCCGGTCCAGAACTGCTTGTGGGATGACTGGCGGGCGGGGTTTGTTGTCTCGCGGGCGCGGCATAGCTACGTGGATTCGGTTCGCCACGTCCTCAACTCGCTTGCTGCGCATCTTGGCTTCCACGCGCATCTGGTGGGAAGAAAGGGAGGGAGAGGGAAGGCGGGAAGGAGGCGAGGTTGGGAGGAAGGAGGAGCGGGAGGGGTGAGGAAACGAGCGAGAGGCGCCCAGCTCCTCCTCCTGGTAGTGCTTCTCCAGCTTGCGCGCCTCGCAGGCCATGGCCACGCGGATTCCAATCGAGGGGACTTTTGAGTCGACTCAAAAGTCACCTCGGAGGGCATGGCCACGCGGATTCGAATCGCCACATCGTCCACTCATTTGCTGCGCATCTTGGCTTCCACACGCATCTGGAAGGAGGGATCGGGAGGGAGGGGAGGGAAGGTCACGGGAAAGGACGGGGCACAAAAATGGTCCGCGGCACTTGTTTGCAATTCTTTATTGACATTCAACATTCTATCACCCCAATCACCTGCAGCAGTCGTTCACAAGCAGCGTTCTTGACAGCAGCCACATTGACATCAGTCATGGTGCTCATGGTCAGCAGACATCCCGCGCCATCACCGTCACCCATCACCGCCTCCATCGCCCCCTCCCCTCCCTCAGCTGCAGCAGCAGGAGGAGCGATGCCGGGGCCTCCGCACCGGGCGGCTTCAGCCGCCATGTCTTGTAGAATCTTCCTGTCAGCTTCCGAGAGCGCTTCCAGCGGCTGCAAGTCCACCTTGTTGCACACCACCATCAGCGGCTTGTTCAGGAAGAGGGGCTGTTTGTAACGCGGATGGATGGGATGGGCACGGGCGAGAGGGTTTGGAATGACGAAGTGGGAGAGGAGGAAGGGAGAAAACGGGGAGGGGCGAGAAAGGGAGGGAAATCAGGGGTTGGAAATTGAAGAAACGGAAAAGAGGGAATTAAAACGGAAAAGGCTACACATCAAGCACAGCGCGCAGAAAGTGGCACAGACCAAGCTTGTAGAAAGTGGCACAGACCAAGCTTGTAGAAAGTGGCACAGACCAAGCTTGTAGAAAGTGGCACAGACCAAGCTTGTAGAAAGTGGCACAGACCAAGCTTGTAGAAAGTGGCACAGACCAAGCTTGTAGAAAGTGGCACAGACCAAGCTTGTAGAAAGTGGCACAGACCAAGCTTGTAGAAAGTGGCACAGACCAAGCTTGTAGAAAGTGGCACAGACCAAGCTTGTAGAAAGTGGCACAGACCAAGCTTGTAGAAAGTGGCACAGACCAAGCTTGTAGAAAGTGGCACAGACCAAGCTTGTAGAAAGTGGCACAGACCAAGCTTGTAGAAAGTGGCACAGACCAAGCTTGTAGAAAGTGGCACAGACCAAGCTTGTAGAAAGTGGCACAGACCAAGCTTGTAGAAAGTGGCACAGACCAAGCTTGTAGAAAGTGGCACAGACCAAGCTTGTAGAAAGTGGCACAGACCAAGCTTGTAGAAAGTGGCACAGACCAAGCTTGTAGAAAGTGGCACAGACCAAGCTTGTAGAAAGTGGCACAGACCAAGCTTGTAGAAAGTGGCACAGACCAAGCTTGTAGAAAGTGGCACAGACCAAGCTTGTAGAAAGTGGCACAGACCAAGCTTGTAGAAAGTGGCACAGACCAAGCTTGTAGAAAGTGGCACAGACCAAGCTTGTAGAAAGTGGCTGAGGTTGTTACCTCGTCACCTTGTTTTTTCTGTTTAGCGAGTCACCGTGTTACCTCTTCTCAGCGTGTCACTCAGTATGAAGGAGTTGAACAGCGCTGCCTGTTGCTGTAGTCAACAGGAGGCATCAACAGGAGGAGCGTATACCTGCACTGCAGCTGCCAGACGCGTCCACCACAAACAGCACTGCCGCTCCCAGGTGCGCTCAGCTTGTTTCGTTGCAACCTTTGTTACCTTGACTGAGAATGCTGCATGCAAGTCACTCACCTTGATGGAGTTGAACAGCGCTGACTGCTGCTCCAGAGTGTACCCACAGCTGCCAGACGCGTCCACCACAAACAGCACGGCGGCCCTCAGATGCGCCAGCGCTGTCACGGCGAGCATCTCAATGGTGTTGCGCTCCTCCAAGGGATGGTCCAGGATACCAGGGGTGTCGATCACCTGAGGTAGTCAAGGGGAGAAGGTGGAAGGGCGATCAAGAGAGGGTTTCCAATTTCCAGTACCAGTGCCATACTCACCTGTGAACTGAACACCCCCCAAGACCCCGAATCCCAAAGCTCTTGCACCTGCCAGCGCAGGCACTTGAGGTAGGTGTACCCTAAATAGAGCGTGCGTGCCAGCGCATGGAGTTTGTTTCGTTGTCCTAATACAACACGAGTTTGATGGAAGTAAGGCCTTCGCAGCCCACCTGTCCTCTTTTGTCAGCGCAGGCACTTGTAGTAGGTGCGCTGAAATGGGGGGCACTTGTAGTAGGTGTACCTGCGCTGAAATGGGGGGCACTTGTAGAAGAGCGACTTGGTGGTGAAATGGTACGGCTGCACCTCCACATCTGCGCGCGTCACCCCACCTTGCTGCTGCTTACCCACCCACCCCACACCACACCACCCCATACCACCCCACCCCTTTCCACCCCTCCCCACCGCACCTGCCAGCGCAAATATTTGTAGTCAGTATGCCCAACAAACAGCGACTTGGTGGTGAAGGCGTACGGCTGCACCTCCACGTCAGCGCGCGTCACCTTGTTCACAAACGAGCTCTTGCCCACGTTGGGATACCCGCACACCAGGATGGTGCGCGTGTTGGGGTCGATGGACGGCAGACGCGACATGTGCTGCCGGACCTGGTGTAAAAGGAAGAGAGGAATAAACCCATGCACAAGGCTTAACACGAGCTCCTTCCATGCGCATTGGGGTACCCGCACACCAGGATGGTGCGTGTGTTGTGGTCGATAGAGGGCAGGCGGGCGCGACATGTGCTGCCGCACCTGGTAAAAAGAAGAAGAAACGGACGAGCTCTTGCCCACTCTCGTTAGAGAACAGGTATGGTATAAGAATCAAAACAGTCAACGCACCTGCTCGAGTTAGCGCATCCAACGCACCTGCCAGTCAAACAGGTCAACGCACCTGCTCCAGTCAACGCAGTCAACGCACCTGCTCCAGTCAACTCAGTCAACGCACCTGCTCGAGGTACGCGAGCGACGGGCCCTGCTTGCGCATGAGCGTGCACATGCGGCCGAGCGCGGCCCGCTTGAGCTGCTTGCAACGGTACAGCGAGTCGCCATACTTGAGCAGGCGCACGTACTCCTTGGTAATGCGGTCGATGATTCCGCGCGCCACGTTCACCTGCGGGGACAGGGGGAAAGAAGAGCAAGAAGAAATCTCACTCAGAGATAATCGAGCAGTCCCACATACTCATTGGCCGCGCGGTCAATGATTCACAGTGCGCCGCTCATTTGATTGGAAAAATAGGGAATAAGCGACGTTCAAGGATAAAAGGGGGGACAAGAAAACCCGGAAACACGAATTCGAGTATCTTTCGGAGAGATTTGCAACATCTAGGAATTGCGCGAATCCACAAACGCAGTGAGCCCAGCCAATCACCGGTCATGCTCATTTCGTAAAACCCCTCTTCACCCAAACCCCCACCCCAAACCCCGCAGCTGTCCGTCATTCCCCGTCGTCCTCTATCACACATTCCCTTACCTGTCCAAGCGCGAGTTTGTAATGGTCCTTATCGTAGAGGACGTTAAGGAGGTCGCCATAGAACGGATGAATCTCCTCGAGCCGCGGAAAGTCGTCGAGAATCGTCGTGAGCTTGTCGTGGAACGTCTGTTGCGTGAACTTGACTTTGCGCATGTAAAACTGACGGATTCTGTTAACGGCGCTGCCCTTGTGGATCACCGTCGGCGTGCCGCGCTGCGTTTTGGACAGAACGATGTCGACAAAGTCCTTGGCGGTGGGGACCACCGTGATCCGCTTGAAATTATACTGCACCATCGTGGCGGTCTGATAGGCTGGATCGGACGGTCGAAAGGACGGATTCGAGACGCCTAAAAAGGCGACGGACGAGATTGACCGACAACCTTCAAAGCCCGCTCGAGTTGTAAGAGACGGGCGAACGAGGAAGAAAGAACGAAGCTAAGCGAACAGGAGAGAAACTACTGCGGCCTGGACGATCGCGATTCGCAATTCGCGAACCGCCTTTGCTACAGCTTCCGTGGAGAGCGGCAGCAAACAGGCACTTGTATAAAGATGGCCCGAAGGCCTGCGAGCAGAAAAGGAGCAACAAGGAGCTGGTGGAAAACCCTAAATGCCGAGCTCGAAAGAGCGGGGTTCTGGTGAACAGCCACAAACGCGTACATTGTGCGCCGTTAGTTGTAGGTGTGAGATGTACATAATAACTCGTGCTGTTACAGTTACTTCATTTCCTGATTATTCTAACTGGTATTGGCAGATCATGAGTGTATTAGCCAATGTTGGTGAACATTCAGCATAAATTTGCTAGCTTGGCGTCTGCAAAATTCAGGAGTCAAGAAAGCAAAATTGCAAAACTGGACAAAACAAAAAACGCTCGAGCAAAATCCAGCCCACTAGTAGCCGCCTATCTAGACCGTGCATGTACAAGCCCACCGACCTTGCTCTTCCCTTTAGAGCCACCTAAAGCACAAGCATAAGCCACACTCTTCCCCCCACTAGTCACCATCACCACAACACTTCCACCCATCCCTCCACTCACCTCCTCCTCTGCACCTTTGCCCGTTCGCTCTGCATTCACTCTCTCTGACCCCACACCCCCATCCGGCCCGGCAAATCCTGCAGCGAATCCCCTCGTCCCACTCTGGAAAAAACTTCCCACGCTACTTGCATCAAAGTCCGAGAGAATCGACACAACGACTGGTTCAGGCTGTGCGAACGCGCTCTGCCGGCCAAACCCACTCTGCTGCTGCTGACCAGGCACTGCAACTGGGACCGACCGAATCGGACTCCCCTCAGTAGTTGCATTGTGTTCCAAGCTGCTGCCCACATCAACACTCGTCGTGCTGCTGGCGCCGCTGTGCCGACCTCCTGTATTCACAACCCCATCAGAGTCGTGAGTGGGAGGCAGGAGGGGAATGGCCTGGTTGGAGTCAGGCAGAGGAATGGCCTGCTTTGACGCCGGCAGCTCGTTCAAATACCGCCTCCGCAAGAACATGCGGCGAGACAGCACAGGCACAGGTACAGGCACAGGCGAGAAGGGCTTAGTCTCCTCGGTGACCCTGCTGCTGCTGCCGGAGCTGGTGGTCGTTCTGGCGGAAGCTGTGGCGGAGTTGAGATGTGAGGAACCCGGAATGTGGCCCCCACTGCTTCTGCTTCTGTCCGTTGCACTGGAGTTTGCACTGCCGCTGCCTGCACAGCCACCAGATGAGTTCCTCTTGCTGCTGCTGCCTGCTGAATGTGTCGTTGCCTCTCCTGCCCCATCCTGTGCCTCCCCCTCCTGCGCCGCTTGGGTTGGATGGGAGTCAAACCGGAAGAGCTCCGTGCATGTATGCGACTGGAACAGAGGGCCTGAAACCACAACAGGCAGAGCAGGGTGGGAAGGGGGGGACAAAGAAACATGATTCAGGAAACAAAGTGTCAATCTGACCACGCGAAAAGACCAGGGGAGGGATGGAATGACGAAAAGAGGACCAAAACCTGACTGATAGCACACAGGGCCATCCCATGCCCATGTTGCTGATGCAAACACCTACCTACCCTGTGCTCCGGCGTCCTCCTCACCTGAGCTGTGCTGCAGCAGCCACTGCTGCCAGTGCTGCTGATTCCACGGCAACGAACCCTCCACTGCTGCTGCTCCTGGTAGCGCACCCGCCACTCTACCACCACCACCGCCAACCCCAGCCCTCAGCCCCGCAGAGGCACTGCCATCGCAGCCACTCCCACTGACCCGCGGACCATAAGCGCCACTGCTGCTACTGCTGCCACCGCTGCCACCGCTGCCAGCGCTGCCACCACTGCCACCTCTCCCACCTCTCGCACTGCCTGCTGACTGGCTCCTGAGCGTGCTTGCAGGTGACCACTGGCGCCACGGCACAAGGGCCTTGCCTGCCGCTCTCGCTCTCTCTGCTGCATCCCTGCCATCTCTAGGCCTATCTGCTGTAACCCTGTCTGCTGCAGCCCTGCCGGCTGTGAGGTTGGGCACCTGGCCTCGTGACACCGCTGCGAAGGCAGGGAACCGCTGCTGCTGCCTGTCAACAGCATGCTGCTCCACCCGAGCGCCGCTCACCACCCTGTGCCTCCACACAGGGTTCAAAGCCGACGCCGACGAGCCCAGGGAAGAGGAGTGCAGAGAAGACGAGTGCTGACCGTGCTGCTGCTGTGGTACTGAACCGCTCATGCTGCCATTCCCTCTGTCCCTCCACCACACGCCCATTCCGTCCCCTCCCACTGCATGCCTCCCCCCCTCCCCGCCCTCCTCCTCCTCCCCCAGACCCAGCAGCACCCGCCCTCCTGGCCTCAACGACCCACCCCCTCCCAACCCTCCTCCCCACTCTTCTCCCCGCGGAACCCCTCCCCTCCCTGCGCCCCTCGGCGCGCCACCACCCCACCAACGCCATCCCTCGCGCCAGGCCCCGGCCACTTGCTCCCAACTACCGGTCCCGCTGCCCTGCCAGCTCGTAACGCTGCTCTGCCAGCCTGGATACGCCGGCGCCACGCCACGTGTCAGTTCGCCGCTGGGCGGCAGGAAGGGGCAGAGGATCAGGAAGAAACCAAACATGGCGAGGACGAGAGCGGGTGCCTTGGCGGCGGAGACAGCACGGGGTGGCGAGGAGGGCCTGACAGGCCTGGTGGCAGCTGCTGTAGCTGCTACGCCAGTAGAAGCAGCAGGAGTGGCAGCAGCTTCCGCAGTATCCGCAGCTTTCGTGGCACCCACATGCGCATCTCCTTCTATCTTCTGCTTCTTCGCGCCCCTGTCCTTCTCCCCACCGCTCGCCTTCGCGCCACTCCCCCCAGGCGCGCCTTTTTTCTTGCGCGCGGACTCCGGCCGGCTCACGTTCTTCAGCTTCGGAATCGGGACAGGCGGAGCGGGGGGGAACAAACCGCGTAACCCTAACGCCCCGAGTGGTAACCCTATTCCCCCCATGCTTCCAATCCCAGCCAGCCCTCCCAGGATCGGAGGAACAAGACCGGGCGAGAGTGCACTGGGAGGCGCTACAGCCGCTGCTGCCGAACCTCCCCTTCTGCGTCTACCCGAGCCTCGTGCCGGGCCTGATGCGGCAATTCCCGAACCTAACGCACCCGCCGACCCTGCAGCAGCTCCAGTTCCAGCTGCTGCAGCGGCAGCGGCGGCGGACGCGGCGGAAGCGGCGGAAGGGGAGGAGTAGAAGAAGGCGAGCTGGCGGCGGAGGCTGACGTTCTCCGCGGTGAGATGCGCGACGGCGGAGTTAAGTTCCGCCACCGCCGCGGACATGGTGCGGATCTGCGCCTCCAGCTCGTCCATGTAGTACTGCCGGGGGAACGGGGGAGAAGGAGGGGGGAGGGGGAAAGGGTTGAAGGGGGGAGAGTTGTTGGGATACACATAGCGTGTTGCGAGAACGATGATGCGGGCGTCAAGCAGCTGAGTTGCGCACGAACGGAACTCGACGTTGATCGAGTGCGAGGCGAGGCTGGTTACCTTCTTCCTTTGCCGCGAAAGTTGCGCACTCTCCCGATTTCTAATCAGCCTAGCCTCCCGCTTCTCCGTCTCCGCATCCCTCCCCTCCCCCTCACCTTCCCCCGCATCCCCCTCGCTCGGCTCGCTGCCCGCATCTTCCGCCGCAACGGCAGCGCCACTCCCGCCACCAGCAACCGATCCCCGCGCCTCTGCTCCCCCGCTTTCGCACTCCTTTTGAACGTTCCCAGAACTTGCGTTTCCAGGGGAAAGGACGCCGTTTGCAACCGTAGACGTGGCAGCATCCAGTGCTGTGGGAATTTGGAAGGAGGCTGGTGAAGTCGTAGGAATGGGGAGAGTCGGATTCGAGCATGGAGCGGGATAGCAACCCATTGACGCACCACCCACCCATGCTGTATTCCCTTGCTGCTGTTGTTGCTGCTGCTGTTGCTGCTGCTGCTTCTGTAACTGCTTCTGCTGCCGCTGCTGCCGGCGCTGCTGCTGCTTTTGCAAGCGATACTGCTGCTGCTGCTGCTGCTGCTGCTGCTGCTGCTGCTGCTGCTGCTGCTGCTGCTGCTGCTGGAAACAGGGACTCACAGACCCCGGAAAAGGCACACCCTGTACTGAAACACTTTGCATCGCCAATTGAGTCGTCATGTGCTGTTGCTGAGCAAAACCTGTTTCCTGCTTCACCGTACTCCCCAAATTCTGGGAAGACGGCAACATGCCGGCGAATAATCCGCCCATGCTTGACACCACGCCTGTAGCCGACGGAGGGGTAGCGGCACACGGCGGAGCTGCAGCAGCAGCAGCAAACGGAACTGCTGACATGGCACTTGACTGATGCCACGGACTCCCAACCTGACTGCTCCCCTCCTTACAGCCACCGCTCTCACAATCACCGCTTCTACAGTCACCACTGGCGCAGTCACCGTCGCTGCTGCCGTCGGCGCCATGGCTACCTCCTTGCACCAGATACGGCAGGCCGTGATCGTTGACGGAAGCTAACGGCTCGGGTGACGACCGGCCGCTAGGAGGCGTATCGACTAGCATCGACCCACCGGCTGTGCGAATATCGCCACCTTCATCGCAAAAAAGCGCGTCGGTTGTGTTAAACGGAAACGGTTCGCTAAACGGCCGGTTTCCGAGTTCCACGTCAACAGCTGCTCCTGCTTCATCCTGCGGTATGGTAGTCTCGTCGCGGAACGGCTCTAGCATATCGCTTGATAGGTTGGCAAAAGCTGACATATCGATGTCCGCGAGAGGCACGGCTGATGAATCGAGTAAGAGCGACGCCCACTCGTCGTCCACGAAGGTGTTCTGTTCGTCCATGGCTGGGCTTGACTGGCCGCGATCTGGCAAATCCGCCATTGAAACGTTGTCAACTCTCGTTTCTGACCGTACAGCAGCTTATCACCATCAAGCTAAGCCAAGCATCACCCCAAAACTGCAACTCGACAAGTAGATAAAAGGTTCCTACTGGTAATTGAGTTCCCAAGGCAAAAAGGCACGGAAAAAGGATGACACATGAAATGATTGCTGCTGACTGGAATTCCCCAGGATACCCAAGAGATACACCGTGGAGGTTGTGTTGAGTGGAGCTTGGTGGCAGTGGCAGAAATCAGCAGCGCGGGCGTGGGGGGGAGGAGACGGACAGACGGAGTCACGGAAAGCTTGACGAGATCTTGTCAGGGCTGGACACACTCAAGCTTGGCTTGGGAGGGTGACCGAACCTGTGACTGGTAGCGGTGTACACGGTTAGGAGTACCTCCTTCTGCTGCATCGTGTGGCCGAGTTTCGTGCAGTTCGATCGGACGAACACCGGCGGACCACATCATTTGACCAACCAGCGGTGGGCGTGGTCATTCTTGTTCAACAGCTTCGCCTTCTCGCAGCTTCCACGCACAAACCGTCTGTCTTACCCACAAACCGACTGACACACAGAACCGAACCACACAGGTTTGGTGTGAAGCAGCCGTCTTGACAGGCAGTTGAGTTGAGTATCACGCTCGTGTAGCAGGCTGGCCCTATGGTTTGGATCTGGTTCGGCAGAGGCTGCTGGCGGGGAGACGAAAGTTTCGTGGTTCGGTTTGTTTGCCAGGGAAGAAGAACTTCCAGAACCAGACAGTTTTTCCGCCGGCCAATTATTACGGTCTGTCAGCCGCAGGCATGTACAGTAATGTGAGGCTGGATGTTAAAGGGGGATTTACTGTTCCTTTTAAAACCGGAGGGTCAAGAAGCACGAAATTGGTTCAAGCTTCCTAAGGTTGGTTGGGAGTTACCCGGTTTCCAGCGGAGGCGGACTTTGAAACACACAAACCTGGTCCTGAACATTCGCCAAACTAGAACACTGTAGCAGCGACAAATGCCCAGTTGGGTTTCATCGCACGGCACATCTCCCAACACCAACCTGCGTAAACATGAGGCACACAGGCAAGAGAAACGTGTCCCAAAAACGCTACTGATTATTCGCGAGTTCAAGGACCCACTATTAGACCCGCGTAGCCCGCCAACTAGCCAACATACCGACAAGCGGGCGCGCGCTAATCACGAATTACAAAAGGTATGGGAGAGCTAAAGTCGCGGAAACCGACATTACCGGAAATGTAGTTGTCCGTTGTGACGTTAGCAGACCGATGGCCACGATTCGACCTGCAGAGCTATGCGACGTCGCATTTAGGTCATTTGCATTGCAGGGCAACGCGACGGCGACATTAGGTCACGATTTGCCCTGCAGGGCAACGCGGCGGCGACATTAGGTCACGATTTGCCCTGCCAAGGCAATGCGACCTACAAACAGGCGGAGGTGCATGGGCAGGGGGGATCGCGTGGGCAGGCGAAAGCACCTGGCTCACCTCCGCCTCGCTTACCTCCGCCTCTCTCACGCTCCGCCTCGCTCACCTCCGCCTCTCTCACGCTCCGCCTCTCTCATCCTCCGCCTCTCTCACCCTCCGCCTCTCTCACCCTCCGCTTCTCTCACCCTCCGCCTCGCTCACCCTCCGCCTCTCTCACCCTCCGCTTCTCTCACCTTCCGCTTCTCTCATCCGCCGCCTCTCTCATCCTCCGCCTCTCTCACCCTCCGCCTCTCTCACGCTCCGCCTCTCTCACCCTCCGCCTCTCTCACCTCCGCCGCCTCTCTCATCCTCCGCCTCTCTCATCCTCCGCCTCTCTCACCTCCGCCTCTCTCACCTTCGCCGCCCAACGTAATTCCTCCGCCTCTCTCACCCTCCGCCTCTCTCACCCTCCGCCTCTCTCACCCTCCGCTTCTCTCACCCTCCGCTTCTCTCACCCTCCGCCTCTCTCATCCTCCGCCTCTCTCATCCTCCGCCTCTCTCACCCTCCGCCTCTCTCACCCTCCACCTCTCTCATCCTCCGCCTCTCTCATCCTCCGCCTCTCTCACCCTCCACCTCTCTCATCCTCCGCCTCTCTCATCCTCCGCCTCTCTCACCCTCCACCTCTCTCATCCTCCGCCTCTCTCATCCTCCGCCTCTCTCACGCTCTGCCTCTCTCATCCTCCGCCTCTCTCATCCGCCGCCTCTCTCATCCTCCGCCTCTCTCACCCTCCGCCTCTCTCATCCTCCGCCTCTCTCACCCTCCGCCTCTCTCACCCTCCGCTTCTCTCACCTCCGCCTCGACAGGGTAGATGCGTCGTAGGGTATGGGTAGATGCATCGACAGGGTAGATGCGTCGTCCTCCCTCCCTTCCTCCCATCCCCTTCCTGCCATTCTCCCATCTCCTCATCCTCTCTCGATCCTGTCCCCTTCCCCTTCCCATCTCCCACCCTCCTACTCCCTTCCTCTCATCCTCCCATCCTCCCTTTCTTCCTTCCTCCCTCCCTTCCACTCATCTACCCAACGTCGTCCTCTCCCACCCCCTTCCTTTCTTCATCTATTCCCTCTCCCAATTTTCTGGCTCAGTGCCTTTCCCCGCTCTCTCCCATCTTACAACCACTCTTCATCTTCCCCCCCCTTCCGCCCTTCCTCTGTGTCCCCCTTGCTCATTTTCTCCCTCCGTGCATTCTTTGTTCCCTACCGCCGTTGCCCTTCCATTGTCATTGTTTTGTATCCTTTCCCGCTGCTTCAACTTTGACACATCCGAGATGTGGTTCGCGTGTGTGCAGGTCTGCCATGCATCCAGTTGTGATGTGTTTGTTGTTTGATGATAGTGGTACCGTATGACAAATAGCTGTCATATATGTTGGGCTGAGAAAAAGCCCTTAGGATCTTTGCAGGGGTGAACTCTGGGTGTAACTGATGTGGTAGCGGAAGCGTTTTAATGAAGAGTTGTGAACCACCTTGCGCTAGTATGTGAGGGCAAAGTTGATTGATTAAAGCAAGGAGATACAGGATTATATAAGAGTACAAGGAATACGAAGGGATACAGTTATAACTACTTTACTGTTGCTGTTGCGGTTCGATACAGTGACGACTCGGGCAACTGCTCTGTAGCGAGTCAGTTGTGTGTCCTTGCTGTCGCGCTGTACCAGGGCCCAAAATTGGTTTTGGGGCACCCTGCCATATCAGGGTCCCCCAGTGCCCTTTGCCTGACCGTCAGTGTGGGAAATTTTTTACCCTGAGCTAGTCAGTGTGTTTTAGCCAGTACCCTGTGTGTGTAAGGGTATTTAAAAAACCATTCTGATTGCTAGTTCATAGTCCTACTGGCACAACCTAATAACTTCCCTACATGCAACTCTACTCAACATAACCACCACTAACAAGACAACACATCACTCATTCTCGGGTCCCTCCTACTGGTCTGCACTCGCAGTGGTGTCAGGGACTGCTGCCGTGTTAAACTGAGTATTACTTGGGTTGCTGCCAGTGAAGTCTCGGATTGGCCGCCTGTTTCTGTCGCCACGGAAGATGCGTGCGACCTCAAACCAGTCCACGGTGTACTCAAGGAGAGAGCAGCGCATTAGATGCCCCAATGATGTGTCTGAGATAGCCCCCCGGCCCCACGTTTTTATAATGTTCTGCTTGCTAAACCCCCTCTCGCACTCCACCGTGCTCAGGGGCAGCACAGCGACTGCTTGCCACAGGAGCATGATGTTGGGGTAGGAGCGCTGCCATTGGTCGTCGCGTAGAGTGTTGCTGAGCGCCTGATGGAAGTATTCGTCATGGTGCTGAGAATGCATGGTCGATGTAAACATCCAGAGCTCAGCGACAGCCTTCGTGTAGTTGAAGCCTGAGGCATAGGGGGAATGATTCTCAAAGGAGTACAAAGCGGCAGATTAGTGTAGGGAGGGGGAAGGGGGGGGGGGGGGGGGGAGGTGTTGATCTTTACGAGCACAAATCATGTGAAACAGGCCGTGTGCAGGCTATTACAGCAGGGTGTGTCACTCATGTGTGCACAAATTTGTCATAATCAACAGCGCACAAACCTGGCAAGGACTCGCGGTAGAGCACATGGAGCTGCTTCAGCCAGCGCTTGAACGCCGCGACACGCTTGTCATCATCTTGTAGGTACTTCGATGACAGGAACAGCTTCGAGCCATCGAGGTGAGACAGATCTCTTAGGCGCTTCTCAAGCTGCTTGACAACCTCCCGCACAAACTTGGTCGACAGCTCGTAGCATGCTGTCGCGTCACCTGCCGTCGCTTCACCGTCAGGGTCTTCATCGGCCAGTGGTCGCTCGTGGAGCACGAACTCATGAGAGGATGGGGTCCCATCGCTATCGACCCCTTCCACCTTCATCATCCGCTTGTCCGGGTCCGACTTCCCATGTGCACGAATGAAGGCAGGCAAATGCATCTTGTCGCCATGACCGAATGTGTGTCCCTCGGGGACACGGAGGTAGCGTTGGGTGAGGCGCATCCGCGTCTGCTCTGCAAGGTGTGCCACCAGAGTCACGTCCACCTGTGACGCACGCGCAGTACAGAATCAAAGTGTGCGTGTTGGTAAAACGATATTTCATATGGAAACCAAGCATTGAGGTGACTGTGACATAAACAGAGCGCATACTAACCTGGCGTTGCTGGAACCGAAGGTTGAGCTGATTTAGCTCGAACAGGACGTCCGCCAGGAGCCGCAGAAGCCAGTGAAACTTGAATGACGTCGCCACTTCGTACATCGTCGGCGACTGGTCTTTCATCAAAACAATGGCAGCCGGGAGCACTTCCAGAAGACGAGACACGGCTTCCCCGCGAGATAACCAACGAACTGCATGGATGCCTTGGGCTTCTAGGTTGGTTTGACAAAAGGTGAGCTGTAGATTCATGAACCGCGCGTGCTGGACGTTGCTGTTGGATAGAAGGGAGGCAAACCCGCGCACGATGGTGTCGACAATGTTGAGCTCCTTCACGGCAGTCGCAACATCTTTCGCCGCCAGAGCTTCACTGCAGGACAGAGGGTGGATCGGCGAACAAGGGGACATGTTGCCCACGCATTAGGCTCAAACATGGAGTGAAGCACATACACAACAACGCAAAGGGTTAAGGCGTAAAACAATGCACATCATATAAACGAACCGATGCGCTATGCAATGTGTGGAAACGAGGTGAGGAATCTTGGCACGGAGACGCGCGACCACGCCATTGTGAACCCCGACCATCACGCTCGCGCCATCCGTGGCGATGCTGACCATCTTCTGCAGGTCCACACCAGTATGCTGCAGGAACTGAACGACGACAGATGTGAGCGAAGCAGCGTCTGTCCGCTCAACCGTGAGAAGAGATAAGAACTTGGTCGCCACCACCGTTCCCTTGAAGAATGTGCCGTAGATAATCAGGTGCTTCCCGTGGATGCGATCCGTACTCTCGTCAATGCCAATCCTGAACCACGGTGAGGTCAGCAGGTGCTGCAGCTGGAGGTCCTGGAGGTAAGTCGACATCGATCTGATCTTCTCCTTGAAACCGTAGCTGCACACACGACGGACAGATGCGGAAGTATTAGTATCTGCCGACTTTACAGGCAATAAAACATGCTACCAACAGAAGGAATGCATGAACTTACTCCGTATAGTATGCGCCATAGCCACCTGTGGGCGGTAGATCTGGAAGTCCCTCTCGGGCCAGGAACCAGCAGAGAGGTACAAAAAGGGCGATTGGAGCATCCGCCTTACATATGAACATGGCGATGTGCAGACAGCGGATTATGTGACGCGTTGATGCATCCGTGGCTTGCCAACGCGTGAGAGTCAGTTGACGCTCACGACGTGCCTCAGCCTCAGCTTCCACCTTCAAAGCGGCCTTGTGCGCCCTAGTCGCAACATGGGCGCGCATGCTGCCTAGCTGAAGATCGCGGCCACCCTCGCCCTTGATGCCGTACGTCGTGTTGGCAGCGGGGTCGCCATGCAGCATGCAGATGTTGCACTTCAACGAGGGCCGCCCTGCTTTCGTGCGATGCAAACGAAGCCACGGAAAACGAGACGACCAGTCAGAATCAAAACGATGCTTGATAATAGCATACTCAGTGTCCGCATCCGATTGGGGTAGCTCCTCAGCCTCCACTGGCAGAGGTACACATGGAGGACTTGGTGGTTTGCGTGGAGGCTTTGCACCCCACAGGAGCTGCTGGGTGTATTTCACACCACCGGTTCGAGCACGCTTAGCTGGAGCGCTGTTGACCGTTGACGGAGTGCTCTCGCCTCCGTTTGAAGGGCCCTCGTCACCACCAGGCACCAATGTCACGGACGGGTGTGGCTCCCAGGCAGTCGGCGAGTTCGGTGCCTCCCACGCACACACCATGCCGACTGAACGGACTGGTGATTCGGGGCGAGGAGGTTCTTGGACAGGAGTGGCATAGGCTTTGCCCAGCCGGGGGAAAACCCCGAGCACAGAAAGTCCATTGCGAGGAGAAGCAGGTGCTTCTCCTCCTGATTCCTCGTCTGGCATGGTAAGGTGGAGCTAGTGGAGCAGAGTAGGGGATAGAAGAAATGGCTGGAGAAGGTGAGGATGAAAGAGAAGGCACTCGTTCTAAGGATGGGGCCTTTCGACCACGCTTCCAGAATGTGTGGCGCTGCGCATGCAATGAATAGGCCAAGGAAGCCCCACCACCCACAGTCTGCAAGGACACTCCGTGGCATGGTGGTGTGGGCTACATTGCCATGCTGGATGTAAATGCTGTAGAGGCAGCGAATCACAAGTTTCCTGGTGTGGTCTGTTTTGTCGATGTGACAGCGCGACAGTGACTCGTCTGGCCGGTTTTGTAACCATCTCGGACTAGTGGCCACATGGGCCTTGTTGTACAGAAACCACACGAAGAAAGTTTGTTTCAGTGCATTTGAAAAAGTACCCTGACGAGTCAGGGGAGAACTCGGGGTGGCCTGATTTTGCAAGTGTATTTCAAAAACTACAAATATACAGTCAGGGTCAATTTGTAAATACACGTCCTACATCAGGGCATTCCTGGAAAAGCGGCCCATAGCAAGGGTAGAAAGGGTAAAACACCCTTGAATTTTGGGCCCTGCGCTGTACTTGTCAGGTCAAAGGTCGCTGACCTTTGACTTTCGCGTAACCTCCAGCAGTTGCTCAACCTCCGAGGGTTGACTCGCTGATGCTGCGATATGTTGTGCTTCGCTTGTGCCTTGGTGTTTCGACACGACAGAGGCGCTTAGAATTAGTTGTTTCCAACAATATATTGATGTTGGATGCTTCTCGTAATACACAACTTCGTGTTTTGGAGCAGAAAGGCACATGACCGTTACAAGGAAGTGCAACAAAGCAAGCTATATTTCCAAAAAGGTTTCCAAGAGTGGACTATAGGCACATACACAACTAGGAGGTGGAACATTTCAACCCATTCCTGTCAGGCCACGATCCATGGTGCTGGGCACCTGTGCAAGCATGGTTCTGTGATGAAACAGGGAGCGAAGAGGGGATATGGCAGAATAAGCGAGGGGTGGAGGTGGAGGTACAGAAGGGCATGTATGGGAGGAGTGGACAAGGCAGAGGGGTGAGCAAAGGGGGAAAGGGAGCGAGCAGGGTGGAGAAGGGGGTGAGCAAAAGGGGAAAGAGAGTGAGCAGGGTGGAGAAGGGGGTGAGCATAGGAGAAAGCAAGTAAGCAAGCAAGGGCTAAGGAGGGGTGCGAACAGGGAAAATGAGAGGACTTGGGGGTGGAAAAGGGTTGAACGAAGGGGAATAGAGAGTAAACAGGGGGAGAGATGGGTGAGTACAGGGGGGAAGGGATGGCGAGGGGGAGAGAGTGAGCAAGGGGCAAGGGAGTGAGCAGGGGAATATAGGGGCGAGCAAAGGGGGAAATAGACCGAGTAGGGGGAAAATGGGTGAGAAGGGGGAAAAGAGAGTGAGCAAGGGGGGAGAGAGGGAGCATGAGAGTGAAGGTGATGGGAGGGGGAAGTGAAGAGCAACGACATGGTGAAAGGGAGGATTGGCGAGTGGAAAAGCGAGGGGGGGAGGGAGGGTCAGCGTGGGGGCAAGGGAGGGTGGTAGTGGGGGAAAAGGAGGGTGGGATTGGGGGAAAGGGCGGGTGGTATTGAGGGAAAGGGAGGATTAGCGTAGGGGAAAGAGAAGATTGGCGTGGGGGAAAGGGAGGGTTGGCATGGGGAAAAGGGAGCATTAGCGTGGGGGAAAGGGAGGGTTGGCGTCGGGGAAAGGGAGGATGATTGTAAGGAAAAGGGCGAGGGAGAGTGGGGGAAAGGACGGGGGGAGTGGGGGAATGGACCGCTGCAGGGCGGGGTGTGAGGGCGTGGAGGAGGAGTGGAGTGCGGTGGAGGCTGGTGCGGTGCGGAGGAGGAGGAAGCGTGGCGCCGCGCGAGTGGCAGAGGTCGTGGTGAGTGAGGACGCGAGGAGGTGAGGAGGGAAGAGGGAGGAGGGAGGAGCGATTGAGGCACCAGAGAGAACGATACGAGCGAGGGGGGAGGAGGAAGAGGAGGAGTGAGAGGAGGAGGAGGAGGGGAGAGGGAAGCCAATGGTAAGGAGGGGGCAGTGGGAGAGGTGCAGGGTGGTGAGGGAGGGGTGGACGGGTGGTGGGAGAGGGCAGTCCAGGCGAGGTTGGCGGAGAGCAGGCGGGGAAGGCGAGGAGCAGCGCGGCAGAGGCGCCGGTGATGCTGCTGCCCCACACTCACCGATGGCGCGAGTGCACCAGCGACTGCAGGAGAAGGGGGGGAGGCGGGGGTGGAAAGGGGATGGTGGGAGTGGGAAAAAGGGGAGCATTGGTGCAGGAGGCGTTAGCGCAAGTGAACCAACAACTTGAGGAAGAGTGGGTGGGGGATTGGGGGGGAGAGGGGGAAGAGAATGAGCAGGGGAGACAGACAGAGGGGGACGGAGGGAAGAGAAGGAGCAGGGGAAACAGGGTGAGCCGGGGAAGAGAGGGCGACGGGAGAACGAGCAGGGCGATGGGAGGGGGGAGCGCGGGCGATGGGAGAGGGAAGTGAAGTCGACGGGCGGGGGAAGTGAAGGCGAGGGGAGGGGGAAGTGAAGGCGAGGGGAGGGGGAAGTGGAGGCGACGGGAGGGGGAAGTGGAGGCGACGGGAGGGGGAAGTGGAGGCGAAGGGAGGGGGAAGTGGAGGCGACGGGAGGGGGAAGTGGAGGCGACGGGAGGGGGAAGTGGAGGCGACGGGAGGGGGAAGTGGAGGCGAAGGGAGGGGGAAGTGGAGGCGAAGGGAGGAAATAGCAGCGCGACGAGCCCGGGATGGGAAATTCCGGCACGAGCAAACCCTAACCGCTGTGTGAAGGGCTTCGTTCACGGAATCCGCACCTGGAGGCTTCGACGCCGGCAGTATCTCTATTTTCGTCCTTGTTACACGACTTTGAAATCTATGTGTTCCGAAGTCACTGGTCGTTGGAGTGTTACGTGACGGTGGGTCACTCTACTTGCTCTGATTTACGTTGCATAGATACCAACGTTAGGCTTACTAAGCTCCTAATAGAAGTGTCGTTGGGGCGTGACACTCAGAAATGTGGATGGGTCGTGGGGATATGTCGCTGGTGGGTTTGTGCGATTGAGGTGTGGGCATGTTGGCCGTCGCATTATGTGTCAGGTTACTTTGGCGAGGTTTGGCATAGTTCGCGACGTTCGTCCAACCTTTTCGACGTTTCAGTCCCTTCGTGTACCAATAGCATATCTTTTCCCAACCAAGCTTCCTAAGCTTGAACTTCTTGGCCCGCGGGTTTTAAAGAGTACTTTCCCAACCCATCCAACTCATCCTCATCTTATCTTTCTAGATTTCCTAGTGCCACGTGGCACTCTACTTTCTTTGCCTCACATTTCCTAGTCCCACAGAGTACTTTCCGACATTCGATCTTGCATGCTATATCATCCTTGCTTGTATCCACCAATATCAATCATTTCTCATTCAACTCTTCAATTACTTAGTTACTCCTTCGCCTATTTTGCCAACACTCTCTTTCGCCAAAGTCTTCCGCCGCGTTTATCCTCGACTTAGTCAACCCCGCTAATCTTTAGAGGATTTAGGCCAGCGGGCCTAACACTTGGTATCAGGAGCCTTCGCGGGGAGCAACTTCCAACGAGCGACCGTCGACGACGAGACTACGACGTCATCGTCCCGCGGTGCCGACTTGCAGACTTGGAGTCGTCGAGCGAACATGGACGAAACCATGCACGCTCTCCCCCACGACATGGGCAACACGCTTGCCGAACTCATGCGCCAACTTCAAGAGTTGACGTTGGAAAATCGTCCGGTACGAGCTGAAATGCAACAGCTTCGTGAATTGGCTTCTAACCCCCATGGTCATGCCGCACCAACTCTTGCACCCAACACGTCGACTGGCGCGGAAGCGCTGCCGGAACGTCGAAGCGCGCTCAAGCCGCAGAAGCCCGAGCCGTTCGGCCCAAGTCAACGCGACGCGAACGTGCGAACGTGGCTCTTCATGCTGAACAACTACTTCGCCGCGAGCGGGGTGCAAGAGGCGGATGCGCAGCAGCGGATAGAGTACTCCGTTACGCTGCTGAGGGGTCCGGCCTTGGAGTAGTGGTGCCAACTCACGCAAATTGCTGTAAGAAGTGCTCAGACAGACGGGCATCAACAGGGCGTGGGGCATGCAGCTGTAACTTTGAGCTTAGAGAGTTTAGATTTGGGTGTTACTACGGTTCCGTCCACATGGGAAGGATTTGAAGCGGCGCTGAAAAGTAGGTTCGATTTGGTGAACGCCTCCGAAGCTGCTAGGAAGCGTCTGCGTCATTCGACAGATAGGAAACGTCCAGGAGTACACACGACGGTTCTTGAGCATCTGCAACGAAATAGATGACATCACGGAAGCAGAGATGCGCGATCGCTACCTCGAAGGGTTGAAGCCGGACATAGCGGAGGTTATAGCGATTCACGGATTGTCCACCTTCGAGTCAGTAGTCGCAGCAGCAGAACGCGTCGACGCAGTACGAAGCCGACGGGGTCGTGACGATCGCGATAGAGGATACAACAGACAGATCAACAACGCTCGATCGAGGGACGGACCGTCGCCCATGGAGATTGGTGCAGTTAACAGTGACGGCTCACAGAAGACGGGTTTTAGGGGGAACTGTCACTACTGCAAAAAGCCGGGACACATGAAGCGGGACTGCCCACAGCTTAAGGAACGGCAGCAGGGAAACGGAGACCGCCAGTAGATAGCGGGTCGCTAGCTGGTGTGGAGGTTCCCGTACCCGCCACATCTACCAACGTAGAGGAGACGGCTTTGCAGCAGTCATCTACAGAGAACGAGGTAGACACTGTTGACCGACCAGTCGTGCTTCTAGGGAAGCTTCGCGGAGTTCCTGTTAAGATTCTCGTAGATAGCGGAGCTAGCCACTCGTTCGTCTCTTCTTCATTAGTCAGTCGTCTCCATCTCGAAGCAGATTCGGCAGTCAACTTCAAGGACGCGCGTATGGTAGATGGGACGCCACTTCACATAGGACCGATCATTCGCAAGTTGCGCGTAGTGCTAGGACCGATCACAGTTAGGCGTGATTTCGACTCTGCGACGCTGGACGGATACGACTTCATCTTCGGTAGGGATTGGCTACGGACGGTTAGTACACAGTTCGATTGGGCTCAGGGAAGCTGCAGCGTCAAGGTAGACGGGGAGTTCCGAGAGCTGCCACAGTGGAGTGATGGGGCCACATCCTCCACAGCCATCATCAATGCTGTTCGTGTGCGGCAGCTGGTGAAGCGTGCGGCACGGATCTTCGCGGTTTTCCTTAAGGAGGTGGAAGCTGAGGAGGGGAAAGGAGGGAGCGCAGCAGTTGGCGATAAGACAACTCTTCCTGCTGAAGTGAGTGCACTCTTAGCGGAGTTTAGAGACGTCTTCCCGACGAGTTGCCCCCAAGGCTACCTCCTAGCCGAGCAGTCGACCATCAGATAGAGTTAGAGCCGGGGAGCAGGCCAGTAGCGAAGCCGCAGTGGAGGTTGAGTCCAGCAGAGACAGAGGAGATGACGCAACAGGTTAGGCATTTCCTAGCGCAGAGGTTCATACAGCCATCTAGATCGCCTTGGGCAGCACTGATCCTTTTCGCGCCTAAGAAAGACGGAGGATTACGGATGTGCATAGACTACCGCGCACTGAACGCCGCCACCGTCAAGAATAGATTCCCAGTTCCGAGAGTAGAGGATCTTCTCGATGCAGTGCAGGGCGCTAGGGTCTTCTCAAAGATCGACCTCCGTTCCGGTTACCACCAGATTCGTGTAGTTCCAGAGGACCAGCACAAGACGGCGTTTCGTACGAAGCAGGGGTTGTACGAGTTTAGGGTTCTACCGTTCGGTTTGACCAACGCCCCAGCGACATTTCAGACGCTCATGAACACAGTCATCTCCGAGTTCCTAGGGTCGTTCGTTGTAGTTTACCTAGACGACATCCTAGTATTCTCTAAGACGAATGAGGAGCACGTGCAGCACTTGCAGAAGGTCTTTGAGGTCTTGAGGAGGGAGCAGTTGTACGCGAAGAAGTCGAAGTGCGAGTTCTTCCTCCCAGAGGTCGAGTTTCTAGGACACGTCGTTTCCGCTAGTGGCATTAGGACCGATCCGAAGAAGATCGCAGCAGTACAAGACTGGATAGCTCCGACCTCAGTCAAGGAGTTGCAGAGCTTCCTCGGATTCGCAAATTATTATCGTCGTTTCGTTCAGGGTTACGCATCGATCGCTAGTCCACTCACCGACCTACTTCGGAAGGGTGTAGAGTACGTTTGGGGTCCAGCACAGCAGCAGGCGTTCGAGCAGATGAAGCAGTCGCTCACGTCTTCACCGACACTGTCGTACCTTGATCCCACTCGCCCGTACGTTGTAGTGACCGACGCTTCAGATCAGGCCATAGGTGCAGTGCTTCTTCAGGACCAGGGACGCGGGTTGCAACCGATCGCGTACGAGTCGCGTAAGCTTAGGGGAGCGGAGTTGAACTATCCCATACACGACAAGGAGGCGCTCGCGATCATCCATGCGTATAAGGTATGGAGGTGCTACCTAGAGGGGGCAGAGAGTGTTATACGCACGGACCAGTGTTCGCTTCGCTTTCTCAAGTCGCAGCCGCAGCTGAGTCGTCGCCAGGCTAGATGGAAGGAGTTCATGGAGGGGAGTTTCCACTTCAGGATAGAGTACAAGCCAGGCGTGCGCAACCCAGCAGATCCGCTCACTCGCCCTAATTGCCAGCTCGCTAGCCTCACAGTCACTGCCGGCCATCCACTTCTCACAGCACTCTTCGAGCACGGTTACACAGTAGATCCCGACTTCACACAGCAGCTGCCCGCAGGTGCAGAGGTGCAGGGTAGTGTCTACATACGGAAGGGTACCACACGAATTTGGGTTCCAGCCTACCGCCCTCTTCGACAGCTCCTTCTCTCAGAGGCGCACGACGTAGTTAGTGCAAGTCACTTCAGAGCAGATAAGACGGCTAAGACGCTTAGTCGCACGTACTACTGGCCAGGGCTTGCAACAGACGTTGAGGATTACATTCGCTCATGCGACACGTGTCAGCGTACAAAGTCCTCTCGCCAGCGCAAAGCAGGACTCTTGCAGCCGATTCCACCGCCCGACCGCCCTTGGCAGGTAGTCACAATGGATTTCATCATGGCATTACCGCGCACAGTTAGGGGTCACGACGCCATCTTCGTGGTAGTGGACAAGTTCTCTCGAGCAGCGCACTTCATCCCCACGCACGGCAAGGTCACAGCAGGGGAAGCCGCGACACTGTTCGTAGATAACGTAGTCCGACTGCACGGGGTTCCAGATTCCATCATCTCAGACCGCGACCCTCGTTTCACTTCGAAGTTATGGAAGCAGCTTTTCGCACTGTTTGGGACTCGCTTAGCCATGTCGTCTGCGTACCATCCAGAGACAGACGGACAGACCGAGCGTGTGAACCAGACCTTGGAGCAGATTCTTCGCAGCATCACGATGCACGACGCAGCCGCATGGGACAAAAAGCTGAGCATGGCCGAGTTCGCCTACAACAACACGCACCACTCGTCCACAGGCATGTCACCGTTCTTCGCACTGTACGGTCAGCACCCCAATGTCCCCACTCGTGTCGATCTCATACCCGCTGTCCCTCGTGCGGACAACTTCCATCAACATCTCACCTCCATTCATGATCACGTGAGGAAGCACCTTGAGCTCGCAAATGCACGCATGGCACGCACCACCAACCGCAGTCGTCGCGAGGTGTCGTTTTCAGTTGGCGACCGTGTCCTTCTCGACAGCCGCAACCTCCGACTGCCACAGGACAGCAAGCTTCGCCCTCGTTTCATTGGTCCATTCGTCATTGAGCGTGCACTAGGTCCAGTCGCATACCGCCTTCGCCTTCCCGCTCATTTCCGCATGCACCCGTCATTCCACGTGTCGCTTCTTCGTCCTTACACCGATCCCAATGCCACCTTCTCGGGCCGTGACCGCACTCCACTGCCGGTAGCTGTTGACACCGACGAGCCCGACTACCAGATCCATCGCATCCTCAGGCACCGTCGCCGTCTCCAGGGGGGTGTCCCTTTCATCGACTTCTTGGTTCGTTGGCGTGGTTACGACGCAGCAGACGACAGCTGGGTTCCTTCGTCCTCGCTGTCTCCCGACAACGCTTGCCTCCAAGCGTACCTTCAGTCTGCAGGCGCCGCGGACGTCGCCTCCTTGGGAGGGGGGTAGTGTTAAAGGGGGATTTACTGTTCCTTTTAAACAGTACTTTCCCAACCCATCCAACTCATCCTCATCTTATCTTTCTAGATTTCCTAGTGCCACGTGGCACTCTACTTTCTTTGCCTCACATTTCCTAGTCCCACAGAGTACTTTCCGACATTCGATCTTGCATGCTATATCATCCTTGCTTGTATCCACCAATATCAATCATTTCTCATTCAACTCTTCAATTACCTAGTTACTCCTTCTCCTATTTCGCCAACACTCTCTTTCGCCAAAGTCTTCCGCCGCGTTTATCCTCGACTTAGTCAACCCCGCTAATATTTAGCGGATTTAGGCCAGCGGGCCTAACACTGGAGGTCAGGTACTGTAAAGTAGTTGATGTGGAGAACCGCTCTGTAGTCTAACGTTCTTCTTCTGGTGGAAACGCGTTACTCGATAGCGCGCATACATATGTCTCTCAGGGTCGGGCTTTTGTAATATGGGAACGCAAATTCACTGTCCTCCCGCACTCAATAAGTGTTTAGCTAAATCGCGTGAGACTCAATGGAGACCTCGCAGCCGTCCCTGGTTGCTCCTCCATCTCTTCCGCAAAACCCTTCCCTATCGCCGTATCTCGCTGCCTTAGCCCTCTCGTCCCCCGTCTTGTCCGTTAACGACGAAGACACTAATGGCGAGGATAGATCCACGCTCCTGTCCCCTGCGGTTGCTTCTCCCGCTGCGCCGAACTTCCGCTGCCGCTTCCGCACGCCGCTGTTCGGCTGCGTGGCGCTAGACGCGGTGCAGCGGGAGGTGCGCGGACGGCGCGAGCTTGCGGAGCGGGGAGCGCTGCAGGCGCAGGGGGAGGGGGGGCGGAAGCAGCAGGAGGGGAAGCAAACGGCAGCGCAAGAAAAGCGGAGACTGGCGCAGGAAAAGGGAAAGGGGACGGGGATAAACCAGCAGCGGCTGGGGGCGGAATCAGCAGCGGAAGGGGAGGAGGCACCGCGCATCAGCCACGATCTCGCCATGTTTGTCGGAGGCCCAATCTGGGCCGTTGATTGGTGCCCTCTCCCTCGTTACAGTCACACCCAGTACCTCGCCGTCGCCTCTCATCCCCATCTGCGCCCATTCTCCCCCATTGGCGTCCCCCTGTGCGGACCTGCGCTGGTGCAGGTGTGGGCGGTTAGACTGGCGGAGGGGGACGGGGAAGCGGAGGGGGAGGGCGGGGGGAAAGGGGAGGGGGAAGGGGAGGGGGAAGGAGAGGGCGGAGAGGAGGGGAGTTTGCCCTGGTGGATGCTGGCGAGCGGAAGGGGCAGGGGGAGAGGCGGGCGGAGGGGGAGAGGGGCGGGGAGAGGTACGGGGAGAGGAGTAGAAAGCGGGAGAGGGAGAGGGAGGGGGCGAGGGAGGGGGAGGGGTAAGGGGAGGGGGAGGGGAAAGGGCGGGGATGCCACGAGCGGAGAAGCAGGAGGTGTTGGGGAGAGGCAGGAAAGTGCCGGGGGGAGCAGTGTGGGAGTGAAAAGGAAAGCTGGGGATGTGGGGCTCGGTTCGCGAGGGTGGGAAGGGGTGGAGTGGGATGGGAGAGAGAGGAAAGTGGAAATGAGATGGGAGAGAGGGGAGGGTGGGGATACATGGATAGGGTCAGGAGGCAGAGGAGGAAGAGGAGGAGAAGGAGAAAGAGGGGAAGGAGGAGGTGGGGGAGGAGGGAGAGAAGAAGGGGCAGAGGGGAGGAGCAAGAGAGCAGGAGGGCCTCAGGCGCAGATGGTGCTGGGGATTGCACACCAAGGCGGACTCACTCGCTGTGCCAGGTGGCGGCCACTGGTTGGTGGGCGAGACAGCAGGGCAGGTCAAGGAGGAGAGGAGAGTCTTGGGTTGCTGGCGGCTGCCTTGGGAGATGGCACAGTTGCAGTGTGAGTGATTGTGAGAATGAGGGCTAGTATATGGGGGGCAATGTAAGTTGTGAGATGCAGGGGTCTCAGGGTTTAGGGTTTGCACTGTTCTAGTGCGAGTTGATGGTTGGAGCACCTAAATTTGCACTGGAAGGTGGGTCAGCAGTAGTGACTGCAGTCATTCGTTTTGTTTCCATCCTCCTTTTTTAGGCCTGACATTCATGTGTTTGATTCGACCAGATGCCACCACCTTTCGTGCTCCTCTCGCTGCCCCTCCCCTGCCTTCTGTATCTCCCCACGGCAGCTATCACGTGCCACTGCCACAGCAGGACAGCAGCCGGTGGCAAGGCATTAAACAGCAGCACCAAAAGCAGCACGAGCAGCAGCAGAAGCAGCAGCAGCAGCAGCAGCAGCAGCAGCAGCAGCAGCACAATCACGAGGCGCCATGGCTCCTCCAACCGGCTCCCCACGGCCCTCTGCTCGCTCTGCAACCCGTCTTCCACTGGCAGTCCAACCCAGCCCATGGCCCCACCAGGTGACTTTTGCAAACTGCTGCGCATGGCCCCAAAAGATGGGTAAAAGGAAGTCGCAAAGGGCACCTTCCAGTGGCAGTCCAACCCAGCCCATGGCCCCACCAGGTGACTTTGGTGGACATCTCAAAAGCCGTCTTTTAATGCCAGTCCCATCCGGTATATATACGGGCATATCAAGGTGACTTATGAAATCTCAAAGGTTGTCTTTTCTTTTAAGTGGCAGCCGAAGCCAGCGCATCACCCAATCAGGTGCTGCCATTCCACCCACATGCGTGTCCATCAAACCAGCACATGGCAGCAGGCAAGGCAAGCACATTGTTTCTAACACGTGGTATCGGAGATCCTCTCCCCATCCTCTCCCATTGTCCCAGGCTCCCCTGCGAGCTCGCGTGGAAGGTGGATTCAGCCTCTCCTGCCGCCTCTCCTGCCGCCTCTCCTGCCGCCTCTCCTGCCGCCTCTCCTGCCGCCTCTCCTGCCGCCTCTCCTGCCGCCTCTCCTGCCTCCTCTCCTGCCTCCTCTCCTGCCACATCATGCTCCCCACATCGCGCCACCGACCTCCTTGCTGCCGGCTTCCAGGATGGTTCCGTCCGTAATGACCCTCCCCACCTGTAACACTTGGCTGTTTACCTCCTCGCTTGGTGTTTTCTGATAGGTGTCATTTCGACTAGCGATTCTGACACATCCTAATGCATGCCCGTTCTTGCGTCATTCTTTCTCTTGCGAAGCTGCTTTTTTTTAGATGTCTCATAGGATATATGTTATCAAGTACCCTTCCCGTCTGTAACTCTTGCCTGCTTACCTCCTGGCTTGGTGTGCTCCGATGGTTCTCATGGCAAGTTGTGGTTTATGAGACATCCTAATACAAGTCTCTTGTGTCAGTGTTTCTCTTGCGATGCTGATTGTTTTCTGTCATGGGAGATATTTGCCGTCTTCCTCTTGTCAGTTAGGCAATTTAGAAATCTTACTGATCATTCATTGCTGATCATTCATTGCTGATCATTCATTACTGATCATTCATTACTGATCATTCATTACTGATCATTCATTACTGATCATTCATTACTGATCATTCATTACTGATCATTCATTACTGATCATTCATTACTGATCATTCATTACTGATCATTCATTGCTGATCATTCATTACTGATCATTCATTGCTGATCATTCAGCCCTTGCTCTAGTTTCTGTGCCCCCACAAATGTATATCATTCCCTGCATGCTGGTTCCACCATCTTGTTTGAGATTAGTTTTGAGAATTCTCAAAACTATTCCCTGCATGCTGGTTCCACCATCCGCAACACGTTGATTATTGAGAAATCTCAAAAACCAACTCTGTCTCACCACCCCTCCCTCTCCTCTCCCCGTCTCCCTCCCCTTCCGCAGGTTCTTGTGTGGCGGCTGCAGCTTGATCACCTTGTAGCCAATACACCAGTAATACCACCAGCACCAACAGCAGCACAGGCACCCTCAGGACCCAAGGCACAGCCACCACTGGCACTGGCACCCGCTGCACCACCGCCATTCTCACACAACCCCAACCCCATCCTGTCCTTCCCCTCTCCTCAGGTGCTCGTGTGGCGACTGCAGCTTGATCACCTCATATTCAACACTCCAGTAATGGCATCAGGATCCAAGGCACAGCCACCACCACTGGCACTGGCACCCGCTGCACCACCGCCATTCTCACACAACCCCATCCTGTCCTTCCGTGCGGATTCAGCTCTCATCCGCTCCCTCGCCTGGCTGCCCACGCCCCTGCCACCTAAACCCCCTTCACTGACTGCTGTTGCGAGGACAGGGAGAAAGGGGATGAGGGACGGGCAGGAGGCGAGGAACGGTAAGCATTGGGGGAAGGGGAAGGAGGAGGAGGACTTGGAAGAGGAGGACGAGGAGGGGGAGGAGGGAGAACAGGATACGGATGGAAAAGGGGAAGAGGAGGAGGATTTGGGTTCTGGAGGAGAGGATGAGGGTGGAGAGGCGGCGGTGGATGAAGGGGAGGAGAGCACGGTGCTGATTGTGGGCAGCCAGTCTGGCATCCTCAAGTTCTGGGACCTCAGGTGAGGTGTGGTGTAGTGAGGCGCAGTGGGATGAGGCGCAATTAATTGTTGGTGGGGGGGTGTGGGTGGTGGGGCAGCACTGGTGCACATCCTGTGATGCCAATCGATATTCCATCATTCTGCAAAACCACTGCACAAGCATGTCACACTTATTGTTCTGTAATCTGTTACTTGTTTGAACGTTTATCTGAAGCAACTGATCTTTGGATTGTTAGTGTTAGCCCTCAATCTCACCTTTTGTACTTGTACTTTTTATATCCTAGTTTAGTGTAGTTTGCACTTTGTGTTTGGTTGGGTGTACTCCTACATCCCAACCAAACCCAAATGTTATCACCAAGCAATCTCCAACCCACCAATTGGAGATTGCCTTGGGATTGCCCCTGATCCCCTTGGAATTGGCCCTGATTACCTCCCCATCCATACCTTGCGCATTTCTGCTGTACTTATAGAGCCTTGAGCTCATTACTAATGCATCAATTCCAGCTCTATTTCTGACAAGGATTGCGTGCAAGAATGTCACTTCGTACGTTAACTGTGCTCCCCTCCCACCCACCCCCCGCCCCTGCTTCCCTCTCCCCACCCTGCCTGTCCACCCCCTGCCTTGTCACCGTCCGTCATGCTGCCATGCTGCCATGCTGCCATCCATGCTACCATGTTACCATGTCAGGGATGTGTTTCAGCCGGCGTACGAGACACCCACCATCTCCAGGCACGGAGTGCTGCAACTGCACTTCTGCACCCCACTACGGTGAACCCCACCACCATCCCCATTGCCCGACAGTTTTGCACCCGATGGATGGACCTGCCATTACCAGGAATCGCATTGCCTACGCTGCACACATTGAGGTTCCTCAAAAGCGATTTCTGAGGTGCATAAAAACCCGCTATCCCCTTGATGGACCTGCCATTACTACGAATCATATTGCCTAGAATACACCCATTGCGCAGAAATCAGCTAGCAAATGGTGGCTAATGGCCCACTTCTCCGCACTGATTGACATGGCTATGAGCTCCGGCGTACTAGAGTGCTTGACACACAGATTCTGTGTAAGATCCACTGTTCTGCGGTGATTCACACGCACATGTTTTTTGAGAATTCTCAAAAAAAATATGTGTAAGATCCACTGTTCTGCGGTGATTCACACGCACATGGCAAGCAATTGCGGTGATTCACACGCACATGGCAAGCAATTGCGGTGATTCACACGCACATGGCAAGCAATTGCGGTGATTCACACGCACATGGCAAGCAATTGCGGTGATTCACACGCACATGGCAAGCAATTGCGGTGATTCACATGCACATGGCAAGCAATTGCGGTGATTCACACGCACATGGCAAGCAATTGCGGTGATTCACACGCACATGGCAAGCAATTGCGGTGATTCACACGCACATGGCAAGCAATTGCTTCCACGATCGTAACCCTCTGTATCTGTCCTGCTTACCTCAATCAACCATTCTTCGTGCTCTTCTCTTCACCTCATTGCTGCATGGCAGGTGCCTGGTGATTGCCATGGAGGAGATCGTTGCGAGTCATTGCGATGCGCTGCTCCTCGCTCTCACAGTTTTTCGCTGGCACCCCAGGAGTCGTCTCACCTCTCAGTTGTTCCTCCTCTTATCGTTCTCTCGATGCCTCCTCCCATGGCATGGCAGGGCCCTGGTGATTGCCATGGAGGATGGGTTCCTGCGAGGCATTGCCGTGCGCTCCTCCTCACTCTTACACCTCAGAAGTCATCCCACTTCTCATCTTCCTGCCTTTCTCGTTCTCCCATGGCACGGCAGCGCCCTGGTGATTGCCATGGAGGATGGGTCCCTGCGAGTTCTCGCCATGCGCTCCTCGCTCTCGCACCACCCAGCGCTGCCCTTCCCCCTCAGCCAGCAGCAGCAGCAGCAGCAGCAGGGAAGGCAGGAGCACAAGGAGGAGAAGAATCGGTACAACCGGCGCTGGGTTGTGTCGACGCTCTCCCTCAGCACCGCTGCAGTGTGGGGCGCCTCTGCCTCTGATGCCACAGGTACTGTTGATGCTGCTGCTGCTGCTGCTGCTGCTGCAGCTGCCGCTGATGCCACAGGTACTGTTGATGCTGCTGCTGCTGCTGCTGCAGCTGCCGCTGATGCCACAGGTACTGTTGATGCTGCTGCTGCTGCTGCTTCCGCTAATGCCGCAGGTACTGTTGATGCTGCTGCTGCTGCTGCTTCCGCTAATGCCGCAGGTACTGTTGATGCTGCTGCTGCTGCTGCTGCCGCTGATTCCACAGGTACTGCTGCTGCTGCTGCTGCTGCTGCTGCTGCTGCTGCTGCTGCCATTGATGCCGCAGATACTGCTGCTCCTGCTGCTGCGGTCGCTGATGCCGCATGTACTGCTGCTTCTTTGGTGTTACCTTTGCCACATTGGCCCTTGTTAATGTGATTACACCCTTTTGTGGTCTCTGACGCGCTCCCTGCCGTTGTAACTCCAGGATGCGTGGCGTTCAGTGGTGCAGATGGGTCCATTCGATGCGTTCAGGTAAGAGGCTGATCTTTACCAGAGAGGCATTGGGCAGATTTGTCAGGCTGGTGCGTTCAGTGGTGCAGATGGGTCCATTCGATGCGTTCAGGTAAGAGGCTGATCTTTACCAGAGAGGCATTGGGCAGATTTGTCAGGCTGGTGCGTTCAGTGGTGCAGATGGGTCCATTCGATGCGTTCAGGTAAGAGGCTGATCTTTACCAGAGAGGCATTGGGCAGATTTGTCAGGCTGGTGCGTTCAGTGGTGCAGATGGGTCCATTCGATGCGTTCAGGTAAGAGGCTGATCTTTATCAGAGAGGCTTTGGGCAGATTTATCAGGCTGATGCGTTCGGTGGTGCAGATGGGTCCATTCGATGCGTTCAGGTAAGAGGCTGTTCTTTACCAGAGCGGCTTTTGGCAGATTTATCAGGCTGATGCGTTCGGTGGTGCAGATGGGTCCATTCGATGCGTTCAGGTATGCGACACGCAACAATGCTGTCTCTGCTGAGCTGTGCTGTGCTGTGAGCATACAGTGATGGTCATTCCTGTGGGCACACAGTGATGGTCATTCCTGTGGGCATACAGTGATGGTCATTCCTGTGGGCACACAGTGATGGTCATTCCTGTGGGCACGTCCTAGTGAGCTAATTGTCCTAGTGAGAATCTGTTATATATCCGTTCTAGGCGTTCAAGTCGTGTATGAGAATTATTAAAAACACTGTGCGGCTGTCCCCGCTCACCGTGCCGTGGGTACACCGAGACAGTCATTCCTGTGCTCGTTCTTTGCATGCTTTTCCTGTGCATCCCCTCTAATTCCCCCTTACCCCAATTCTTCCCCCTCTGATCCTGCCTCTCCATTGCTCTCCACAGCTGAGCAATAACTTCCTAATCAATCGCCACAGCCGGAGCAAGCAAGCCGTCATTACAGTGGGGGGATTCAATCAAATCCTGCCACCGCCCACACAATCTAGTGCGGAAGCTGCTACAGCTGACACCTCAGCAGATGAGTCGTTTGAGCATCGGTTTGTCTTTTTCCGAGGTGGGTCCAGTGAAGAAATAGATGGGGAGGCAGGACAGAAGGGGAAAGGGAAATTGAAGAAGGGACAGAAGGATGGAGGGGAGGAGTTGGAGGTGGATATACAGGGTGAGTCTGCCCACAGGGCAGATTGTGTCGGGGGAGTGGTGTGTGGCAATGCATTGGGATGCAAAGCGGTTGCAATGCACAGAGTGGCATGGAATGCCAATCCAGGGTTTCAGCGGTGGCTGGCAAGTGGGGGTGCTAATGGGGTGCTCCGGTGTCAGCTGGTTCGCCTGCCGTCAGATTCTTAAAGGCGTTTGCAATGTTTGTGTCCGACTTCACGTTTTATCCATCAGATTTTGCTGTAAAACAAGGCATACTGGTGTCTCAAATGTTTGCATCCATCTTTGTTCTTTATCTGGTTTCCCTAATACTGGCTGGTCTAAGTGTTTTCAATCATCTTGTTGTACATATTTGCAAATCCCGTTATGGTGTGATTCGAGCTGCTAAGATTGTGTGGACTCCGTCTTCTGAAATTCACATGTGGAGACATTCGTGCGATCGTTGGTGGGTGTGGTGATTGATGGTTTGGATCCTGCTTAGGCGGGAAATCGTTTTATTGGTTGAACTTTAAGTCCGTCCAATTGTAGAGCTCCATTTCTGCGCCGCGCTGGTGTGACTGCCACCGCAAGCGTACTCTGTCAGGAACCACCAACACATCCCATCGTGAGGGGTGCTGCGAGTCGGGGCGGCGGGGGAAATGTGAATTGGCGATGGCGACGCTTTTCACGAAGAACGACGACAGAGGTACCTGTTCTCCACGACCACATGCACAAGACCACTGACTCGCAAGCTGATGTTACCATATGGTAACGCGTACGTGCATAACACGGAAGCACACTGTTCTGGTTGATGGCTCAAAGAGTAGCTGGTGTTTCCCGTGAATGCGGGAAGAATTGCGCCAGATGTGGACGTTCAAAAGTCCATGTTCCTGCGATTTTCAATCCTTATTGTCACAGTGTAGAAGGGGTTTTCCTGGTATTTAATATGCCAAACGAGGATATTTCATAATTGTGACAATAAGCTTCCCGTTTCAGCCGTTGGACTTGCAGGCTACAGTGACAATGACAATGAAGACCATCTGCTGCCTAGGTTCACTACCTGCTTGATGTATTTGCTCTATGGCTATGGCTGACGGTGGCTGGCTTTCGTTCTGACTCACAGCGCTCCTGCTAGTCAGGGATTACGGACGAGATGAACGCCGTTTTTCTACCACTAGGTTGGACGCCCTAAACTTTTGCTGTGCTGGTCGATCGAAAGTCCACCATAGCCGTTTTTCCGGCCTTACCCTACTCAACGGCCTAGCCTAAAGGCTAAATAGGGTCCGTCCGCTATTGCGTTGACTGATCAACTCGTGTTTCCTTCGGTTGGTTGTGTTTTCATTTCGAATATCACCCACTGCTGACTGACCAGTATGCGGTAACCCTAGTTTTCAGTAGCTGGGAGCAACCTTTTTCCCTCCCAGCGTTCTCGAGCATCGCCACGCCATCTCTACTATCCGTCCCTACTGCATCCTCACTTAGCATTCTGTTTTTAAGCGCGTGTCGACCGACTGAACCGCTTTTTAGACTCTACCTAAAAGGATAGCGATGGCGTGGGAAGCAACAGCATCGCTCACGTCGAAGCTGTCCAATCAGGCCTCACTCTCCTCAGCGGTTAATCTAGACTCACGGCGCAAGCCTACAACCGCTTCTACCTCGCCGTCCTTACCCGATCAATGGAGCCAATCCGGTTCCGCGAGAATATCCGGCTCCTGTAGTCTGACGTCAACGGTAAAGTCTAATCGCAAATGGCGAATGTCGGCCGATCAGCAGTCCTTCTTAACGGGATCGTCTGACGGCTTTTTTTCGTCGCACGCGTGCGTGACTCAGACCTTTCAGGCAGTTGTTCCTAACTCTAACAGTAGCTGTAGTACATTACCTTATTGCTTTAATTCCCTAGACTCCCTCTCTGCTATTGGCAACAACAATAGTAGCAATTCCTCCTCGCCTAGCGTTAGGAGTAATTTGTCCCCACTATGTATTCCAACCTTAGGCTCGGTAGCCGGTTCGGAGTTACGTTCGGCAACAGGCTCGGCATCGAGCCCGTTGATGGTGGAATGCTTCGAGGTGGAGCGGTGCGAGGGATTGGAGGGACACGTGTCGATCAGTGGTGCTAAGAACTCCGCTCTCGCCGTTCTTGCTGGGGCTATCTGCTCCTCCGAGCCTCTCGTTTTGCGTCGGGTGCCGGACCTACATGACATCAGGCGGATGTTCCAGGTTCGGCCCGAGTGATATCCGTCCCTGCCTCCTATTCCTTCCTTCAAGCACCTACCTTCGTCATTTCAGGCGAAAAAAAAAACTTCGTTGTGTCGAGAGTTGCATTTCCATGGCATTGGGGCCATGTCATTATTCTCATGGCATTACTGCCGTGCCAACATTACTATGTCATTACTGGCATGCCATTACTCCCATGTCTTACTGCCATGTCAGTACGGCCATACCGTTGCTGCCGTGTCATCACACTGTCATGTTACCCCTGACGATACTAAACATCATGTCTTCCTACTTACTCCTCGTCTTCTACCCGTCTGTGTGCGTTTTAATCCGCTGCGTCGGTCTTCAGGTTCTCCAATCGGTCGGCGTGAAAATACAGCGAGGCGTGGACGGCCAGGATTCATCCGTGCTGGTCGACGCGTCCTGTCTGTCGTCCGTGGAGCCGTGCCCCGACGTGGTGCGGAAGCTTCGCGCCAGCTTCTTCGTGATCGGCGCGCTTGTGGGGAGACAGGGGGAGGCGGTGGTGCCGCTGCCCGGCGGCTGCAACATCGGCGCGCGCCCCATCGACCTCCACGTGCGCGGCCTCGAGGCGCTGGGCGCAAAGGTCGATATCAGGTGAGCGCATTGAGTCAATTTTTTTTTGTGGTGTGATGTTCATTTAGCGCGCCCATTACGCGTGTCCACCTAACCGCCAATCGGGGCCAGTTCTAGCCATTGCCGCTGCTTTTAGCTCTGGTGTTTTGCCCACTGTAGTCGCCCGAAAAGTCTTCTTAGGCTGTCTGTAAAGCCTAATGGGCAATGTCGCATTCCGTTATCCGCGAGCCTAGTTGGCTTTCTCTCCCTCGTTACCCCCTGTGTCATCCCCACCGCACTCTCAATCGTATCACCGCAGCTCCTCACTTTTTCTCCCTTTTTCAATTCTCATTCCCTCCCTCTACCCTCCCCTCTCTCCCCCTCGCTCCCCCTCTCTTCCCCCCTCCCCGCCCGCAGGCAGGGGCGCGTGCACGTGCAGACGGCGGACGGCGGGCGGCTCAAGGGCGGGAGCTTCTACCTGGACTTCCCCTCGGTGGGCGCCACCGAGACGCTCATGATGGCCGCGTCGCTCGCGGACGGCGAAACCACTCTCTCTAACGTCGCCCAGGTGAGCGCTGGGGGAGAGTCGGGCGACATGATGTTTCGCTCAGGTAACCACAAAGGGGGAGGTAGGCGTGCCAACATGATGCGCTGGAATGTTGCTCTGGGTTGCTGACGACGCTTCTTGTCTTTTCCGATCGTCGCCTCTGCAGCCACCACTGACTGCTGTGGTTTTCAATTCTGTCCCTTCACTTCTCTTCCCTTCGCTCCTTGTTTCTCCTCCCGCCTCCCATCACCAGCCTGAGGTGGTGAACCTGGCCTATCTCCGCATTTCCCAAACCAACCTCCACATCCCCTCCTATCCTCCCTTTTCTCCCGCCAGGAGCCCGAGGTGGTGGATCTGGCAGATTTCCTCATCTCGTGTGGCGCGCAGATCAGGGGGGCGGGCACCAACACGATCGTCATCAAGGGCGTGCCCAGGCTGGGGCCCGCCGAGTTCACCATCATACCTGACCGCATTGAGGCGGGAACCTTCCTGGCAGCTGCGGCCATCACGCGGTCGGTGGTGTCGCTGTCGCCGGTGATCCCGCGGCATCTGACGGCTGTGATCAGCAAGCTCAGAGCC